CCCGCCGCCACCCCCACTCCCTCCGCCGCCACCGCCGCCACCGCCACCGCCCCCTCCAGCTCCACCCGCGCCCTTGCCCCCCTTGCCCCTGCTGGAGCGACGTCTCCCACTAGGGGCAGACGCCGCGCCGACCGACTCAAGACCAAGCAGGTCGGCAGCAGCAGCAGAGGCAACAGAGGGCAGCAAGGGGGAAGGAGAGCACCCCTCAAAGATGGGGGTGCGAGGGTCACCACGAGAAGCACCTACAGCGACTATACTCTTCTCCGCTGCAAGGAGGGCCTTCTCGAGGAGGTCGACGGTGAGGGTGGTGGGACAGACTGCGAGAAAGTGGTCCCTGACGACGCGAAGGGAGTCAGGGAGGCGCGCGACTACGTAGTAGAGAGCGATGTACATGGGGGGGGGGTTCTTAGCGCAGAACTCAGCAGGAAGGGCGGCGCGGTAGCGAGTGTCACTAGTGCGGAGGTGCGTAATGAGGTCAGCGACAGTGGGAAAGGCAGAGAGGTCAGGAAAGAGGTAGGGAAGCATGAGACGGCTCAGTGCAGCAGTGGCAGGGGAGGAGTAGCGCGCAACTACAGCGTCGTACAAGGTCTGAGCACTCTTGTACTGACTAAAGTGCGCACGCTCAGAGGTAGGGAGGTGGCGACGCACAGCAAGACGTGCAGCAGCATCGCGGGTGGCCCACTTAGAGCGGACAGCGGGATCAGCATCAGCAGCAGGGGCAGGAGAGGCGCCAGAGGTGAGGTCAAAGAGAGAAAGGTCGTCAGCCCTGTCGCACTGTAAGAACAGCTGCAGGTCGTCTAACCAGACCTCAAAATCAATGGCGCGACCCTCAGCGTCAAAAGCTAGGACACTAGGGGTAGCCATGGTGACGACAGCGACGCAGTGCAAGCAGTAGGGAAAGAGCTCGCAGTGTCAGTGGGACAGTGCTCACCAGGCAGGGCAGGTCGTGCAGTCAGCAGAAGGGCGGCTCAGCGACCGGGCGGCTCGGGTGCACAGCTGCTCGGCTCCCGGGCGGCTCGGCGGCTGGGCAGCTCGGGTGCAGGGCGGCTCGGTTGCTGGGCGGCTCGGGTGCAGGGCGGCTCGGCTCCCGGGCGGCTCGGCGGCAGGGCGGCTCGGGTCCCGGGCGGCTCGGCTGCTGGGGCGGCTCGGGCGGGAGATGCAGCGTCGGGCCGGCAGGTGCAGCGTCGGGCCGGTAGGTGCAGCGGCGGGCCGGCAGGTGCAAGTGGCGGGCCGGAAGAGGCGGCGGGCCGATGGGTGCAGCGGCGGGCCGGTAGGTGCAGCGGCGGGCCGGCAGGAGCAGCGGCGGGCCGGCAGGGTGCAGCGGCGGGCCGGCAGGAGCAGCGACGGGCCGGCAGGGTGCAGCGGCGGGCCGTAGAGTGCAGCGGCGGGGCCGTCGGCAGTAGAGGCGGGGCCGCGTCAGAGGAGGCGGCGTGGCCGCGTCAGGGGAGGCGGCGGGGCCGCGTGAATGGAGGCGGCGGGGCCGCGTCAGGGGAGGCGGCGGAGTCGCGTCAGGGGAGGCGGCGGGGCCTCGTCAGAGGAGGCGGCGGGGCCGCGTTAAGGGAGGCGGCTGGGCCGCGTCAGGGGAGGCGGCAAAGCCGCGTCAGAGGAGGCGGCGGGGCCGCGAGTGAAAAGGCGACCCGAGGGGTCGCTAAAAAAAAAAAGGGCGCGCCTCGGGGCGCGCGTCGGTGGGCCCAGACAACGGTCCTAAGGTAGGACCCGCTCTATACCATGTGATAATAGGAAAACAGGAATGAAATGAACTATGAATGAAAGCAGTACAAATATGAAACCCTAACTGGGTTGTACCCCCTATGGGATACCCCACTACAGCCTACACAGCAGTATAAGCTATAGATATGTTCTGACAGTGCTCCCTGTGGGCAACCCCACCTGGAAGTAGTGCTCCCTGTGCGCAACCCCACCTGGTAGTAGTGCTCCCTGTGCGCAACCCCACCTGGAAGTAGTGCTCCCTGTGCGCAACCCCACCTGGTAGTAGTGCTCCCTGTGCGCAACCCCACCTGGAAGTAGTGCTCCCTGTGCGCAACCCCACCTGTTAGTAGTGCTCCCTGTGCGCAACCCCACCTGGTAGTAGTGCTCCCTGTGCGCAACCCCACCTGGTAGTAGTGCTCCCTGTGCGCAACCCCACCTGTTAGTAGTGCTCCCTGTGCGCAACCCCACCTGGTAGTAGTGCTCCCTGTGCGCAACCCCACCTGGTAGTAGTGCTCCCTGTGCGCAACCCCACCTGGTAGTAGTGCTCCCTGTGCGCAACCCCACCCTAAACCCTAGTAGCGCCCTCCTCCTTTCTTCCTCGCTCACCCCTGTGGGTGCTGTGACATCCGCCCCATATCCCATGGCCAGCTCTCGCTCCAGCGCGGTTGGTTCCTCCCATTGTCGTCTCTTATGGTCATATATTAACCCCGGCCCCGGCTTCCCCGCTTCCCACTTATAGCCGGCTGCCCCCTGATAGGCGACCAGAGTGGGCAGCGCCCGCCTGTCTTGCCCCACCTGATTACATGGGTAGTGCCTGCTGTAGCTCTTCCTGCACACTGGTGCAGGGGTCCGCCCGGGCTCCAGGATGTCCTGTACCTTTCTCCCCGAAGCTCTCCTCACCCCGTCCGCCTCGTCTTGCAGGTCTTGCACTGGCACGACGTTTTGCCAATACATCCTGAGCCGGTGTGCATACGGCCCCATTCTTGCCGCATCAGAGCTCACCCCCTTGCCCAACTGTCTCTTAATCTTCTCTCTCACTAGCCGAATTGGCTCGCGGCTGTCCCCTTCCAGGTCCAAGTTCTCCAGCAGGTATGCCACCCTGCCTTGCCTCTCCTGCAACCAGTCCATGATACGAAACAGGTCCTCCATCAGCTTCGTCCTGGGGTCCAGTTCTCCCTTCCCCTTTCCGGCCCATGATACCCCTTGACATTCCCACCCTGCCACCAGCAGGTCCACCTGCCCCCAGCTGGCTACCTCTGCCTCTGTCACCTTCCTCACGTCATGAATGGTTCTGCCCATTGCTTCCCGGATCACCTCCCTGCTCAGTAGCTCTGGAAACTCTGCGTGTAACTTCAACGCGTGGTGTTCAGCCATCTTCCTCGCTGCTGGTGCCTGTTCCACGTATATCCACTGTCTCACGGCGATTCCACTCCTCACCACAGCTGCCAATCCTGCCCCGATTCCCCCGAACAGCTCCACCAGTTGGATGGGCTGCCGCCAGTCAATCTGGTGCCTCTGCTCATCCATGCGCTTCATCTTGGGCTCTTCTTCTGCTCCTTTCGGTCCCTTCTGTCCCCTTGCCTGCTGTTCCCCTGGCGTCTGCCCTGCAGTCGTCTGGTATGCTCTCTTTGGCTCCACCTTCACGAACTGTACGGGCAGCTGCCCCAAGGGCCCTTCCTTCTTCCAGTATCGCGTCCGGAACTCCACTTTCTCCGTCCACGTGCATATCGTCATCCCCACTGCAAACACCATCTCTGTGCCCACCAGGACGTCGGAGTCCTCTGAGTCTGAGATTCCACACTTCATCCTGATCTTGGTCTCATGTTCTTCCCCTGGCAGCAGGGTCAACTCTATGGGAGTGCGTGTGCACGGCATCCACTTCGGTTCCCCCCCTTCTGCCATCATCACCAGCATTCCTTTCGCTACGTGCTTCTCTGGTGCCATCAATCCTAGCCTTTCTGCCATGCTCTTGCCCAGCATCACACTTTGTGCCCCGGTGTCTATGATGGCAGTCCTCACCCTCTCCCCTTCTACCTTCATTGCACCCCCCTTCACCAGTAGCACGGAGGTCTGACAAGCCAGCCTCTCTTGTGGGTGGCGCGCTGGCACATTCTCCTGCTCTTGCTCCTCTGGTTTCCGTCCCTTCTCCCGCTCCTTCCTCACATGATCATGTCTACCGTCTCTCCCCCCGCTTCTCAGCCCCATCTCTTCCCTGCCTCTCGAGGCCATGAGGGCACACTGCACATCCTGTTCCACCTCTTCTCCTTCTTCATCCCCGGCGTACATTCCCGCCTCTGCTTCCTGCCTCGGTCCTAATGCTTGCAGCTGCGACTGCAGTCTACTGATCTGCCGCTCAAGGTCTGCTGGGTTCCTCTTTGCTCCTCCCTCCTGCTGATAGCAATCTTTTGCCTCGTGCCCCCTCTTGCCACACATCTCACAGCTTGGGGCGTCAGGACAGTCTCTCCTTCGGTGCCCTGGCTTCCCGCAGCAATCACACTTCTTGCAGTCCCTGCGCAGATGCCCCACTTGCCCGCATCTGTGACAGGTCCGAGTATCAGTCCTGCTCTCCCCTCGACCCTCTGGTCTCCCTCGTTCCTCGGGAATCATCGCTGCTGCCCATGTCGGCCTGCGGCTGCGCTCTGACGGCTTGGGCAGGTATGCTTCATACTTCCTTTGTGCGAGCTCCACCTTTTCCGCTAGCTCGAATACCTCTTCTAGGCTCGCATCTGCCCCCAACTCATACACCCTCATCCTTAGGCCACCCCCCAAGCTCTCGTCCAGCCCCCCCAAGAACTTGCTAATCAGGAGGCTGGTGTCCGTGCACATCACGTCCTCCGCCACGTTGATAAGTCGGTTATAGTATGTGAGCAATGACTCCATCCGCCCCCTTTAAAAGTCCTGAAACTCCCTTATCCGTTCTGCAGTGTGTCCCGGAAACTGTCGCTGCAGCCGGCGGAGGAACGCCTCCATGGGGTCTTCACCGTGCCTTCCCGCCCTCCGCAACAGCTCATCCATCCTCATCCGATACAATGTCTCCGCCTCCCCCTCCAGTGTGTTAGGTAGGCTCAGAAAGAAGTCTACCGGGTCCATGCCGCTCCTGTCGCACCGATACCGCACATTACCCGCTTGCATGAGGTAATTCTTTAGCGAGGGCCCCGTACGTTGATCTCCTGAGAACCTCGCCGGGACCTCCACATGAGGTGCCGCCACCGCACTCCCTCGACCTTCTCCCCAGGACTCGCTTGTTGCTCTCGCCTGCCTTCTGTGTGTCCCCCTTTCCCTTGCTCTCTCTATTCCTTCCCTCGCCTCCTTGGCTCGTTCCGCACTATATGCCAAACTCCCGCCCCCAACCTTGCTTCCCCGCTGGTCCCATCTTGCCTCCTTATGCAGATCCCATGAGCTCGCGCGCCCTTCTGTGCGTTGACCTTGCCCATCCAGCGAGTGGTCTGCCCTCCCCCGTTCTTCCCGCCGCGTCTCACGCCGATGCTTCTCTGGCGATGGTGACCTCTCGTCTCTTCTTCCTCCACGCTGCCGACGGCCGTACGGCGACTGCCATTCCTCATCACGTGCTCCTTCCCGCTGCCTGCGCAGATCTGGCGAGGGGGACCTGACATCACGCCATCCTTCACGTCTCTGGTGCAGTTCGGGCGAGCGCTCCCCGCTGCCGCGCCACCCTTCACGTCGCGGATGCGGATCTGGCGAGCGCTCCCCGCCGCCGCACCACCCTTCGCGTCGCGGATGCGGCTCTGGCGAGCGCTCCCCGCCACCGCGCCACCCTTCGTGTCGCGGATGCGGATCTGGCGAGCGCTCCCCGCCGCCTCGCCACCCTTCGCGTCGCGGATGCGGATCTGGCGAGCGCTCCCCGCCACCGCGCCACCCATCGCGTCGCTGCTGTGGATCGGGCGAGCGTGATCCCTCGCCTCGCCTTGCTCCGCATTGCCGACGCTTTTCCGGCGTGCGCGACCGTTCATCTCGTCCTCCTCCGCGTCGTCCTCGCTGCCCGGACATGCGTGACTCCGTGTTCCGCTCTCCTCGGTCCTGCTGTCACAGGTCGGGCCAGGGATCTCCCTCCTGACAGTTGCGGCGTTCCTCTCGCTGCTCCTTTCGTGCGCCCTCTGGCCCGTCGGCCTTTGCCTCGCTCTGGTCCGCCGTGCTGTCCGCCCGCGCGGCGTTAGCCTCGTCGGCTCCAGCGGTGGAGCCGTGACTCCCACTGGCGTCCTCCACTTGGCGTCGCTGATCCTCGCTGCCCTCGTCCGCGCCTTCTCCGCGGCCTTCCTCCCGCATTTTCCCCACGGGGGAATTCTCCCCTTCGCTGTCCGTCTCGAGATCTCCTCGTTGACCAAGATGCCCTCCTGGCAGACCTCGCGCGCGGTCGCTTTCTCCGCGTCGGTGGTACCCTTCTTCCGGCGAGGGATGTGCCCTCGTGTCACGGCAATATCGACGATCGCCTCCAGATCCGTCGCGCGCATCCGTTTGCCACGGATCGCCTCTCGACATGGCGGATCCCGCCCCACCGGTTTCATCCCGGGCCGAACCTCCTCCACGTCCATCTGGCGCTTGGAGGACCCAATCAGCGCGGAAAGCCGGCCTCCGCGGCGATCTTTCCAGAGAGCGCCCGCGTTCTTGCGAGCGCTCGCGCCGCGGCCGTTCCTCCTGCTCACGGCGACTATACTGCCAGCCCCATCGCCGCTCGTGCTTGTCCATGCTCACGCGATGATGCGCCCTTTTCGCTTGTTATGAAGAAGTTCCCTCCCTCACCCCGTAGGTTCCCTCCTAGTGGCGTGCTGCTGGATGTAGGATCTAGAGCAACTGATTTCACGACAAGAGAATAACAAGCGAAAAGCATGGACTGGATGTTCCTGACTGAACTTACCTTGCCCAGGCTCAAGTCGCACATTTCACAATGTGCGGCTCGAGTTTGGGCTGGTCCTCCCTGATTGGTTCAATGCATTTCGCCCCTAGGTCCTTTCCCTCCCATTCCTAACGTCAAATTCGTCCTCCCCCTACTCAATCTCAACTTCCATTCCAACATTCGCTACACCACAATCTACACCCGCGCAACACTGTGACACAAGTTCATATTTGGTGACACAAGGACCAATCTCGCTCCTAGAACAGTGGCAGCGCGAGCAGCTGCTCTCTCGAACTCATGAGAAACTACCATTTAGAACGGCAGCCAATCAGAACCTCCAAAACAGTTCGCTCAAAACCAAAAAGTCAGACTCGCTCCTTGAACACCACCAACCACTCCCATTGGTCAAGACCAGCCTATACTTCACCTCAGTTGTACCAGATTCGCCGCTCCATTCAGCTGCAATTACAGAACCTGAATCGTAACCTTAAATCGGCAGATTGAATCACAGAAAAGGTGTTTCTGTAATCAACAAACTTCCCCTAAATCTGGCGATTTTACACCACGCACCCTTTGCTTCTGACTCACCCCAATTGTGTTAATCACTCATGAACCGACTTGTCCGCTCCCCCACTTGTGACTAATTTCTGAACAGCTTTGACTGTAACCCATTGCTCTCCGCACATGCCTCTCCAGCTTCCTTCAGCATCCGGTGACAACCCCATAGTCATTGCTGCTTCGTCAAACACCCCTTGCTTGCTCCTATCATCTCTCTCGACAATCTGCTTCTGTCTTGATAAATCCATGCACCTTCATCCTGTGCTCAGCTGCTTTTGCACAACCTGTGTTTGTTATCACATTCGGTGCTCCACCACTCTCTTGTGACACGAGCTTAATGGCGTCGCTCCTCCCCACACCTTTTCTGCTTCATTGCCGTTGAAAAATTTGCACACTCCTCCGCTAGTTTGCACACCCGTTGCTTGAGCTTCTTCAGAGCTTTGACAAATGCCAGCATGTTTTGAGCTTCCACAACATCACCAAACAGCGCACTGTAGCCTCCATTGATTTTCTCACCATCCTATTCCTCCATATTGACAATGTTGTTCTGCTTATCCGCCCCTCGGTTGGTTCATCCTGGTTGATTGCCTTCCGTCCTATCCTGCTCTTGGACAACCTTTCCTTGCTTGTATCCGCCAAGTGAGGATTTGACTCGTCTGCAGTTCCTCCCTTTATACCTTGCAACTAGGCATGATCATTAGGCCCGACCCGACCCGACTTGGGCGGGCCAGCCGGGTTCCGGGTCGGGTCGGGTCGGGTCGGAACTTAAAAAAATCCTGGCCCGACCCGGGTATCGGGTGCCGGGTCAGGCGTGACCCGCCCCCGGGTCGGGTCGGGTAGGGGCCGGGTCGGGTTGGGTCGGGCCAGGACCCCATATGCAGGGTAAGAGGTTCCTAAGTTGGAAAAAACGCTAGTTTCAAATTGCGTATTGAGTTTATACGCATATAGAATTCGTACGCTGCGGATTTTTCTAAAATTCGCCAAATTTGGCTCGGGCTGACCGGAAAAAAAAAAATCAGATGAGTTCGCGATCTGGCGAACTCAAATTTGAGTCTAGAAATTCAGATCTGAGTTCGCGCGTTGCTAAAGCAACTTCAGATCTGAATTTCGAGATTGTTGGTGGATCATTCCCTCTTATCCACCGCTCACAACCCACCTTCACCCCATCCAATTTGTTGCCAACTTCTACCTGACTCGCTCAATGTCAGGCCGCTCTTCCCTTCAATAATCTTTGCGTTCGATTTCTTCCTCTTCACTTTGACGATGACCTACTACAGCAGCAGTTAGGTAATGGATTACTACAGCAGCTCCGGTCTAGGGTTTAGACATTGACTTCGCGATCTGCTTTAGTGCAACTTGTCGAGGGAATGTCAATGTCGAGGGAACAAACAAACCTTAGACATTGACTTCGCGATCTGCTTTAGTGCAACTTGTCGAGGGAGGAAAAGTTGGGTGGGGCCAAATACTCGACCCGACTTAGGGCGCGGTGCCCGAAACTGGGTCGGGTACGACTTCGGGTCTAAATCTGACCCGACCCGACCCGACCCGGTTTCGGGTGTCGGGTCGACCCGACCCGACCGGGTAAACCCGACCCGACCCGGCCGGGTCAGCGCTTCAAAATGCCTGACCCGACCCGCCGGGGCAGGATGATCATGCCTACTTGCAACTCATCCTTGGAACTTTCATCGTCCTTCTTCCTGCTGAGAGTCTCTACTCCACTCAACTGTGCTGATGGCACAAATTCGCACACCTTCACCCTCGCACTAGCGTTACTCCTCCTAAATGTAACCCTCCTCTTAATGTTGGATTTCTTCAATTTCAAACAGGACGCGATGACCTTCAACTGCTCAACCAGCTGCATTCCTATCTGCTTCAACTCACTCACTGCTGCTGCACTGATTTGCGATGTCTCCCCCTCAACGATGCACCCCTTTTCAGCCAGTACTGTAGTGACGCCACTCCATGATATGGCAGGCACCCGCCACAACTCATTATCAAGGCCCCATTCTTCGCGCAGCTCCCAAAGCACTCTGCTCCCGAATCTTCCCTTAAAGCGTCCAGCTTTGCTCTCGGTGTTCACCCTAGCAAGAGCCAGCTTCCTTAGCGAGATCAAGCTAGCTGTCATCTCCGGCACGAACAACACTTTTTCAATTATGACTGGTTTCCCGTCAGCTCCCAAAAACCCAGCTGCTTTTGCACCCATCACCCTCATTGCATGTCCGGATCGTGACTTGACTTCTGAAATGGGTGTTGTATTGATGCTTTCCAGTAGTTCCACATATGGAGTCATCGACCACGCGGCTCCAGTATCCAAAACCCAAGTGTGTCGTCCAGATCCGTATTGTGCTCCTTTCCCACATGCTGTTGATTCTGCCGCTTTATGGAAGAACTGCCCTGCTGCCCTTCCTTCATGTTGATTCGTTTCCCTTGCACGCTCCGCTACCATGTTCACGCCATGCTTCTCGCCTTCTTTTTCATCTTCGTTCAAGTAGCTTGGGTCCCACCAATCTGGTCTTTCGTGGCAATGCATCCACGTATGTCCCAGCTTCTGACAATACCAACACCTTCCCCGTAAACCGCCAAAGCCTGCCCTGTAGCCACCTCGTCCTGCAGTTTCACTGTTCCATTGGTCATGATTGCTCGTGTTGTCTCTTCTTCCGCTGAACCTGTCACATCCGCTCCATGACTTTTCCTCATCAGACTCTCGTTGCCTGGTCATGTTGCCATAGCGCTTGTCACCGTTTATGCTCTTGAACCTGTTGCGCCTGTTCTTCCAACCGCTTCCCTGCATGCCGAAGCCACCATCACCATCATCCATATTGTTCATCTGACGCCTTCGAAAATCCTCCTCCAGAATCTTGCTCCTCACCCATTCAAGAGTCCACAGCCCCTGGTTTTGTGGAAGGCTTAACCCACTCGTAAACTGCAGCCATGATTCGGGCAGCAACGACAGCATTTTCAAACACTTCGCATGTTCAGGATACACAACACCGGCCATAGTTAGTGTAGAAAATCAGACCTATGTGCACAATGTGCACAAGGAGAAGCTGGTTCTGAGATGTTGAAAAAGGTCTACAAACAGAAAGGTAGCTGAAGTGATGAATACAAGCAAAACAAAAGCTAAAATAGGCAGAAAGTGAAGAGAGCTAGCTTGGAGGCGACTTGGGCTCGTCCAGGTGAGGAATTTGGTACCCAAGGGACTTGGGGTGGCCAAATGGGTGCTCAAGTCGCCCACAGTCAAGATGGGGACGTGAGGGACCCTCAAAGTGGGCCTGGAAGCGCCCCCTCTAGTGGAACCGCGATTCCACGAATTGGAAACGCGAATTCCAAGCTGGAGCCGCGTTTCCAATGTTGAAATTCGTGGGTCCAGGCTGGAGCCGCGTCCCCAAGGATGGGAAACGTGCTGGGGTGCCCCAAAGCCGAATTTGGGGTGCCTAGCACTTGATAAAGTCACTCAGGGGGCACCCTATAACTAATATAACCCAACCCCTATTGTCTACACTATTATAATGTAAGCAAATACATACAAACCATAAAACAAACTAGTGAACTAACCTTCAGCATAATTAAAGGAAAATAAGTACCTAACATCACCCCCCCTTAGGGTGACACCGAGGGAGAGATCAAAGAAGAAGTAGCAGGGCGAAGGCCGATGCAGGACTGTAGACGCTGAAGTGTGTCACGAGGGAGAGGCTTGGTCCCCAAATCAGCAAGGTTATCACGGCTAGGGATGTAGTGCAGCGAGATATGCCCTTTGTTAGCATGATCACAGAGGAAATGGTGGCGGATGTCGATGTGTTTGGCACGGGCATGGAAAACACCAGCGTCCTTTGCCAAGACAATGGCGCTAGTGTTGTCACAGAGCAGCGGGGTGGGACCAGTGGGGGGAAGGCCGAGAGAGCAGAGGAGAGTACGGAGCCAAAGGGCTTTGTGGGTTACCGCACCGAGCGCGTAGTATTCAGCTTTACAAGAGGATGTCGCAACCACACATTGCCGCTTGGATTGCCAAGAAATCAGAGAAGATCCCAGAAAAAACAGGTATGCAGTGAGGGAACGACGATCCTCACTTTCGGAAGCCCATGAGGCA